TATGCTGATTTGCTGCTCAAGAAACATTTATATTATTATCAATGTCGAAAACAATTGTGCTGCTTAATATTTTTCTGGAAGCAGTTGCATTTTTTAAAAATCATTCTTTGATGAATAGAAAGTTTAGGATTTATTTGAAATAGAAACCTTTGTAGGCAACATAAAAGTCAATACTATTACTTTTTGATCAATTTAACCCCTTCGGACCCTGCGTCCATTGAAATGGACATCACATGATTTTTTGTTTAAACCAATAAAATTTTATGTTTTTATAATATGAGCAATGCCTGGTCACTGATTGGTCCCTGATCAACCGATCACAATGAAGATATGACTCCTAACTTAATGTTAATGTTTTATGAACATTGATGTTAATGAATGAAATTATGATTATAATATGATTTCATTTATGTCATCAAAGTGACCATAGCCTGTCAATCAACTTTTCATTGGTTTTAGTGAGAAACAGCCATAGTGGATGTGAGATCAGTGAATACACTGCAACACACACACTCACACCCCCTCCTCACACACTGATGCCTTGATGCTATAATGCACACAATCATATATTCAGCAAAACAATCAGCAAAACCCATTCACATACACACAAAGACATTTATACATATACTCAGATTCACCCACTTCAACCAACAAAAAGGAACAAAAAGGTTTTTTGAGACTTCATATCATCTTACCTTTTTTTCCCATGTTCTTACGGCATTGTTCATTCTGTGTTATTTTCAAAATCTTAAACACTAGTTCAACTATAGTGCACAAGCTCTACTTATTATGTATGGTTAAATATGGGGATTTTTATTTTTCTTCAGTCCTGGTGTCCATTATAGTGGACATGAAAAAATCTAATAAAAAAAAACGATTTGGCACAAATCTTGTTTTTTTAGACTTATTTCTATATTGGAGAAGAGCAAATATCAAGTGGTTAAAATTTTGTTCAGTGAAAAAAAAAATCAGGTCTGAAGGGGTAATGTGTGCCTGCAGAATAAAATTATTAATTTCTTATAAAAAAAGAAAGATAGAAAGAATTCTTAATTGTATCAATGCTCTGTGCTTCCACCTACTGTCCTCACTGTTATTTTCTGCCAGGATATTATCCGTTCATTTTATGGACATTTCTGTTACCTTTAAACACAATGTAATGCTGTGCAAATGTCAAAATACAGGTAAACTCTTAAAAATAAAGGTTCTTTATGGAACCATTTAGACAAAAAGGTTCTTCTATGGCATCCTGAAGCACCTTTATTTTTAAGAGTGTAAAACACTTGTAAAAAATCAATACGGAAATTTTCTTCATTATAAATCAATACACTGTGCCCTATTTTTAAGTGTTTTTTTTTTACAGTGCTAATTATTCTAACACCCTGACTGTATACACATGAATGCAAAGAAAAGAACTATCATGCAAAATATGTAAATTAGAGATCCAGAAGGAGGATAATCTATGAAATCTCTCTCTCTCTCTTTCTCTCTCTCTCTCTGTATATATATATATATATATATATATATATATAAGGTCTATGGATTCAAGTCTGTACACAGAACAAATATATATGAAAAGTCTTTTTAAAAATCATAAATTAACAATCAAACTTGATTGGATTTAGACAGCAGAATGATAATCAGTCTCAACTATCAAAGTGGGTGTGTTTGATTAATGAGGGGTGAAATAGGCCTGTCATCCATAAAAATGTGAGATATTAGTCTCTTCAGGCAGTCTCTTCACAGCTGTTGATAGTCACTGTCACTTTTCTGATGTAAATCAGAAAGTGTGTTTGAGCAGCATACAATCTCAACACAATTTTCTCCACTCTGATTTCATAAAGAACTGGTTTCAGATTTGAGACCACAACAAACAAAACATAGACACTCAAATGGCAAATAACATTGTACTAATGATGAAAGTGGTAATAAGAGAAAGTGTTCAAAAGATGCATAATAAACGAATAAATATTGATATCTTATCAATAGCTCTGGTGTAATACCTGCACCAGCTGCTTTTAGATTGTGAATAGTTTATTTTTTATTTACTTTTTTTATTTGTACGTGTGGGGTGTTTTTAGAAAGAATAATGTAACAGGAAGAGGAGATACTGTAAGTGATTTACATAAACTGAGGAAGACCTTTGCTTGCAGCTCTTTGATCAACCAACAGGGGCGATTGATTTGAAGAAGGATGGAAACAGCACAAATGGGGATTTGTGCTGTAGAAAGGCTTGCACGATCAAGACATATTCCTTCTTTAAAAACATTCCTGTCACTTCCAGAACAAAATAAGTCATGCACTCTTAAGAAAAATGCAGTACCAGAAAATGGTTCTTCAGCTTGTAACAATAGCAGAACCCTTTTTGGTGCTTAATAGAACCCTTTTTATAGGGTTCCATAAAGAACTGTAGCCTCTATTAGGGATTTACATTAAAACAACAACAGCAACAACATATTGTGTGAATCAGGTACTTTTTTATTGACGTGAAATTGTAGCAATAATGTCAGTGCTCTTAACAACAGTTGACACTTGACACTGAACATGAATAAATACATAAAGAAGTACAACACAGAATAAGAACAAAAAATAGATGCGATGAAGACAAAGTTCCAGTGAAATATCTTCACAATCCTAAGGAAGAGGAGATACTGTAAGTGATTTACATAAACTGAGGAAGACCTTTGCTTGCAGCTCTTTGATCAACCAACAGGGGCGATTGATTTGAAGAAGGATGGAAACAGCACAAATGGGGATTTGTGCTGTAGAAAGGCTTGCACGATCAAGACATATTCCTTCTTTAAAAACATTCCTGTCACTTCCAGAACAAAATAAGTCATGCACTCTTAAGAAAAATGCAGTACCAGAAAATGGTTCTTCAGCTTGTAACAATAGCAGAACCCTTTTTGGTGCTTAATAGAACCCTTTTTATAGGGTTCCATAAAGAACCATGCTTTGAAAGTGCTATATAGAACCTTAATGGTGCTATAAATAACCTTTTTAATAATTTTTTTCATTTATATTAGTATATTTATATAATTAATATTAGTTTTATTAATATTATTTGAATAACTTATTTATTACTATTGTTTTTTTAGCCCTCTATCTGCCTGGTCTTATAATATCTCATAGCTTCTATTAAGGTTTTCATAAAAACAACAACAGCATGTTGTGTCAATTAGATATTTTTATTTGATTTCATGACATGTGAAATTGTAGCAAAAATGACAGTGATTTTAACAACCAGTAGCAGAATACATTAATAAATGACAATTGACATTGAACATAAATAAATACAGAGGTAAAACAAAAACAGAAACAGAAAATAGTGTAATGAAGACCAAGTTCTAGTGAAATACTGTATTTTCCAGCCTATTTTCACAATCCTCTATGATGCCTGTAAGCCCATCATTATGTGTATTTGTGACCCTGTCTGTGAAATTCAGGTTAAAGTCTCAAAATCTAATTACGAGATAACAAGCATCAAAATATGATTTCAATCTTTGACATGGCCTTATTCAGTCAATATTAAAGATATCAAGGTTATATTTTCACAGAATGCTCTTTACATTATAAAGGACGATTTTATGTAAAACAGTAAATCACACACAATAATTTACCTGTTGAGAGTGTGTTGACAGTCTGTAGTTGGATCACTGATCTCCAGAAAATCAGTAATATGGAGCTTTGACAGTTACAGATTTAAAAAACAAAAAGGCCGGGAACAAAGAACCCTAAACTCTTAACACAAAGAACCATTTCAGCATAAAAGGGTTCTTCAGGATGCTATGGATCTAAATCACCCATTACTACATGTAAAGAACCTTTAAAGAACCATGGTGCAACTGACTGGAGGCTAGGTGGAGCTTTTGGACAGTAGAAGTATTTGCCAAAAGCATGGTCAACAAGCATTGCACCTCTGACATAAACCAGAAACTTCACATCCTTACTCCTTACACAATACATGCTGTTTTGGAGAATGGACTAGCAGGAAGTAGCTTTTGCACGTTTTTAAAATGTGTGCGTGTACATTCATTAAACCCTTAAACATTTACCATTAACTCATTAAACCCTTAATATTTGAACTGATTTAAAGAAGAACTTATCTGGTTCTGTGATTTTGCGTCACAGTGCTTTGGTTTCCTATGGCAGGATGTGTGATTTTGGGGATGTTTGTGTTTTTTTTTTTCCCATTCAAACAACACTTCAAAACAATAAACAAGAAAGAGGAAATGGTTCTTGTAGTTCTTCTTTTCCTCTTGGAGAGACTGCATTGGTTACTCCGTGTATTAAGGGGGCAGTCGTGGCCTAAGGGTTAGAGAGTCGGACTTGTAACCCAAAGGTTGCAGGTTTGAGTCTAGGTACTAGCAGGGATTTTAGGTGGGGGAGTGAATGACCACTCTCTACTGAGGTGAGACCCTTGAGCAAGGCACCAAACCCCCAACAATGGGGGAACCCCCCAAAATGGCTGCCCACTACTCCAGGTGTGTGCGTGCACACTTGGATGGGTTAAATACAGAGCACAAATTCCAAGTATGGGATACAATACTTGGCTACACGTCATGTTACTCATTATAGAGGACGTGTCTTATATGCGATAGAAAGAGAGGAGGTCTTTTTTTGTCTTTTCCTTATACATCATAGCACAGCAACTGATGTGGCAGGATTAGCGAGCGTGAACCTGAATTGTACACATAAAGTAAGATTTTTTATAGGAGATATTACAATATTTATTATTATTATTGTTGTTGTTGTTATGTTGTTTCCGTTTAATTGATTGTTTAAACAGTAGATACAAATACAAAATTAAAATATAATAAAATAAAAAATATTAAAAGTAAGAGATACAATCTAAAATGTATAAAATACCGCTGGTGTTCAGTACTCAATATTTTCTTGTCTAATAAAATGAGTGCGATAAGTGGATCCCTAGTGAATAATCGTGAAAGAGATTTGGTTGTGTTTTAAAGTGAGTGATCATTACTTTGATATGATTAATGCAGAGAGCACCCGGGCGTGTCGTTCGTTCTCACACTCACACAAACTCTGGAATTCACATGTGGGGTGGGTGCTACTAGAGTTTTTTTTTTAACTATAACTACCAGGCGGAGGCGTTGTGTGATATAAACAAAGAGGTAAGCCTTTTTAGGTTGAATATTATAACTGCTTATTTATATTTCGTAACACGGAATGAAGTATTTTGCCGAAATCATCAATAGACCACTTTGCTTTGTGGTTTTGAATTGTAAACGCGTTAAACGGACGTGAATTGTCGAGCGTTGCGTTTCACTCACAGAGATAACGTTACAGCGAGCTCGCGTGCTCACCTCCCTCGTAAATAAATGAAACGGCGGCTTAGTTTTAACTAGTCGTTGTAAAGTTTTTATATATTACTATATTGTATATTTATAAAAACCAGGTAATTGTGAGTAAATAGTATGTTTTGACAAGTCGTGGGGGGGTAAAGTTTGCCATGTTGAGACATCTAGCTGTTAGCATTGTTCTTGCTTTTATCGAAGAAAAACAATTTATTGTATTATCATAGTATTGACAGTGTTCCCTGCATTAACTTTCCAATATCTCCTAAATGAGAACATTAAATGTTGTGGAAGACTGAAAGTTGCTTTGGCAGCTGGTTTTAAAAAGTGAGCTGCCAACTTTGCTAATCAGTTAGCCACATAGCTAACTAGTAAGCGGAAGAAGAAGTGGGCTGAGCTTGTGAGCCATCTTGTGTGTGGAATCGCTTATGATTTCTGATTACTGGATGGATATATTTCCTTGTGAGTTGTCTCTGGGACACTAAAATATTCTGAGGCCTTATCTGATGTGATAAAAAAAAACAAAAACAACTGAAACATCTTCAGTGTTTTTTCCTAATATCTTTTTGCAGCTGTTGGTACCACTTGGCACGTAATGCAAATAGGAATTATTATGATCACATAACACTTTAAACCGAGATGTTTAACCAGCTGTTTTTTTTATTTGTAATTTAAGAAAATTCCGATGTTTTTTTGTGCGAGACATGTATACAAATACCTGAAGCAGAGCACTTTAGTGATAGGACATTTAATATAAAACGTTTTAATAAGGAAGGGTTTTATTTTTTATTATGTAGCACGTTTTTATTCATCAAGATTGTAGGTTGTGAAATGAATGAACAAGTACAGTAGTTGCTGTAGATGCAGTAAAGCAGGTTTTCCCAAACCTTTTTGGCAGCAGAACCCCTTTGACCTAAATGTTTGCTAGTGACATTACTCCCTGATATTTATATTTTAATAAGTTTATTTTAATAATTGAACAACATATTAGTGGTTCTCTAGTGTCAGTTAGTGGTCACATGACATGTAGGTAAACATAAAATATTAACCTTTTTGTTTTTTAAATTATTTATTTCAATTTTACATTTATTGATTATATTTTGCAGTTCCCTCATGAACCCCTAGTTTGGGGTCTACATAGAAGTTTGTAAAATTTAGCTTGAATGAAAGGTACATTTTATCTTTAACAATATATATTTTTTTCTGTTTAAGTCAGCAAGTGCTTGCTTAAAAAACCTTTTAGGAAGGTTTTTTTTTCTTTCTGTAAATGCACACCAAATGTGAACTTCAGACTCTGGCCTGTATTACTGGCAGCAAAAGATGTGGTAAACTGTGAATTTTGTAATTAAACTCTTGTGCAACTGACTCATCCTGAGGATGTGATGTAATTTGGTTGACATATAGGCCTAACACTTCTGCACATCTACATGCCATTTCTGCTTCTGTTACAATATGTGATAAAGGTCTCTCTGGATGTTTTACTTTGGTAATCTCACATGTTCTTTTCCATTATGCTACAGAAAAAGATGCACTATTACAGATATGAAAATGCAGAGGTCAGCTGTTGCTACAAATACCTCATGTTCAGCTACAACATTATCTTTTGGGTAAGTTGATGTTTGATGTAAGTTGATGACAGACGTTTTATTTCAGTATAAACACACACACACAAACATTCCCTTCACTGCAAATCTCGCTTAAATGGCCACCCTTCCAGTTCTAACATTAGATAACGTCTGCCCTGCCTATCTTTTCTGCCACTCTTGCTCAGATAACATGATCTGTAGACCGGCCCCACATTTCATGTTTATTTGTTCTACTTAGTTTCACACTGTGTGCACAGATGTTTCGTACTTTCTGACTGTTTTTGCATTACTGGGTGGGTCATTTCACAGCAAGTGAACACCCACAGCTGAAACTTTATAAATCAAAAGTCAGGCTAATGACATTAGGTTTCCACGTCAACAGGAAACCGATTAACACTCGCGTATTGCTGCAGTAGTTTGTGGTGTCCTCTATGGGAAGCATGGGAGGATTCTGAGATAACCACTTCTAACCCGTTTTCCTGTTTTCAATAGTGAACATGGCTATATTAGTAAAAATATTACTGCACAGTGTGTTATGAATATTTCATGACCGGTTTTAGATATGAATTATAAGTCTAACACTTTGTTTTCCATACTTTTAAATAAAGCTTTTTATCTTTAGTAGGTTCATAAATTGTATACACTACTGTTCAAAAGTTTGGGGTCATTAAGATTTTGTTTGAAAGAAAGTAATCTTACCAATGGTACTTTGAATTGTAGTCTATTTAAATTTTATTTTTGCAAACAGTATTGCTGTTGTCTAGTTTCTTGGCATTCTAGACATTAGTCATATCTTTAGTCATATTTATGCATCGTCTGTTATAACCACACACTCAGTTGTTGCAGGTTTTTGTTTTGTGTGAACTTGACTATTCTGATGTAACTTTTAATCATTTAATTTCTCCTAAACCTCTTCTGTTTCAGCTAGCCGGAACAGCGTTCATTGCAATTGGCTTTTGGGCCTGGAGTGAAAAGGTAAGTAGACACTTTGAAACTTCCTGTATATATATTATTATAATATATTATTACTGTATATATGTACATTATTCTTTATATGTATCTATCTATCTATCTATCTATCTATCTATATACCTAGTTGTTTGATATTACCAAAAAATGTAGTGACATAAACTGCATAACTAACTACATACACCACTGTTAAAGTTTGGGTCAGTGTATTATATATACTGAATACAGTATAATATATATTATTATTTATAAAATTAGGAAATAGATTTCTGAGGGATCGTGTGACATTGAACACTGAAGTAAAGTAAAGACTGCTGAAAATTCACATTTCTTTCAAAGTCATTAAAAAAACGTAACTTTTGAATGGTAGACAGCATTTAACTGCAAAAAACACCGCGAGTTATGTAGCTGTGAATGTGTTTTAGTGGCTCAGGGAAAAACAACCAGTGTAAATTGTTTGTTCTCACAGGGTGTTTTATCAGATCTGACACAAGTTACACGTCTACATGGTTTTGACCCAGTTTGGGGGGTGCTTGTTGTGGGCACAGTCACTTTCATTTTGGGATTTGCTGGGTGTGTTGGAGCTCTCAGGGAAAACATCTGCCTCCTTAAGTTTGTAAGTACTCATACTTTAAATGTGATACTGAAGCCATCACATATGCTGGTCAGTTCAAAATTAAGAATTTTATGTGGCATGCCTTGCAGTGCCGGATCGGTACAAGATCAGAACTTTATGAAGTGTTAATGAAATTAGTTCCCAGTCATGAAAATGAACAAATTCTATTTATACTGTCAAATTATGCTCTTTGATTTTTCACCTTGCTTATTGACCTTGTCTTGCAGTTCGCTGGAGTCATTGGCTTCATCTTCTTCCTGGAGTTGACGGCTGCGGTGTTGGCGTTTGTGTTCCAGGGCCAAGTTAGGGAGTGGATCAGTGATTTCTTCTTGGCTAATGTGAAGGCCTACAGGGAAGACATTGACCTGCAGAACCTGATCGACTCTCTCCAGAAACTGGTAAGTCTGAGAGAGTTTTTAAGTATATACTAATTTTCATTAAATAAAATGAATGCTTTCTATTTACTCTACTTGCCAACCACATAATATATTATATGTGAAATGGTTTCCATTAAAAAACAAAGTGTATGTTTCTCTACTCGCTTTTCCATGTCTTTTCGCAAATTCTTGCTTAAATAATTAATCAATGTTTAATTAACAAGCATTATTTACCCTGAACGAAACTGTAGATACTTATGACTGCTAGACGCAACGTTTTTTTATGTTTTCTCAAATAAATGTTTTACATTTTTCAAAATGTAAATTATTTTTGGGGTAAATTGGGGGATTTTGATGAAGCATATGGCTTAATGCTTGTGAAAGTCTGGTAAAAGGTAGCCATGAGAAATTTCATCGCTAATACATATGCACAATTGTGACTTTGTTAAACTGTTGCAGATCCTGAACGTGTTTTTTTTTTTTTTTTCAAAGAATCATTGCTGGGGGGCTAAAGACCCCAACGACTGGAATCTAAATGTGTATTTTAACTGCTCAGAGAGTAACCCCAGCAGAGAGAAATGTGGAGTGCCGTTTTCCTGCTGCATCAGCGACCCTGCTGTAGGGTATTCTCTTATTCACAGCAGCCCTCCACAGAAAGAAAGAGATCTTTTCAGCATGCTGCTCTGTCATAAAAAATGCTGTTTAAAAGAACCCATTGTGCTTTAAAGTCGAAGGCCAAGCATGTGGAAGACTCCCTCTGCTTGTGGTGGCCTTGTACTCACTGCCTGTATGTGAGAGTGAGAGTGAGGAACTGATGACAGAATTTAGATTTTCCCATGAACTATCCTTTTAACAAGCTGATTCAATTTCCAAATGTCTTTTTTCTGGAAACTGAAATAGTTTATACTGACCCTAAGGCTTTGTCTCCTACGCATAGGTTATGACTTGCTTTGGTTTCAATTACTTAATGCATGGATTGTTTTCACCATCGTAAATGACTTTACAGTGAATATAGGCCTATGAACCTATGACTTTTCTTTACAGGATACAGTGGTGAACACGCAGTGTGGATATGATGTTAGAGCATCTGGCACACCGGTGAGTGCATTTTGAACAGTTGTACTAGAGAGACAGGTATTTCATTATTTGCGGTTGTTGACTGAAGTTCTGCTTCAGTACAAATGTGAAAGTTGTTGAGTGAGTTCTTGCTTCAGAAAGTGGAATAAATTAAAACACTTGTCAGCAGCTGTGTACCAGAAAATGTAGTAAAAGTTTTTGAAATTAAAGTCAAGTTTCCAAGGTTCAGTTTCTCTGATGGCAGCACTTATATCTGTCACTTTTGAAAATTGCATTTTCAAATGGGGCATGTGTACAGTTGTTCTGTTCTTCTGCTCTCCACTCGTAGTTCTCTTTTTGTACTCTATTGGTAGTAAGGAAATTGCAATTGGGAGAGCAGAATACCTGCAGAGAATAAACCTGTACATTATAATGTGACACACAGAGCACTTGCTGCATTGTAGATATAATAAAATGGTCTTTAATTAATTGCATAACATTTACAGTCACTTATTTGTGAAATATAACACACACTGTTTTTATTTTTCAGTCTGAATGGAGCAACACCATTTATGTCAAAGGATGCATGATTGCTTTGGAGGAGTGGCTTCCACGCAATCTCTACATTGTGGCTGGAGTCTTCATAGTAATATCATTGCTACAGGTATGGGATGTACTTGAGAAACAAAAATTACTGCATGGAAAATATATTTTACAGCTAGATGTCACTTATTTTCGCAGAGCAACCAAAAAGCAAAACCACTTTCAAATTCTACACTAATTATGATATAATCATTAGAATGAAGTTATAGGTCCTGGAAAGAAAGTACCCATCTGCATTTCTACAGTATGTGTCTTTAAAGGGGTCATATGATGCGATTTCAATTTTTCCAAAATAATGTTCTTTTTAGCAACATCATATGACCCCTTTAAAACTCAGTTTTGAAGTTAATCTCAATGTAATGTTGTGTCTTGTCATTTTACTTTTAGATGGTGGGAATCTTCTTGGCGAGGACGTTGATTGGAGACATTGAAAAAGTCAAGTTTAATTATTACTGAGCTCACATTACTGAAAGGGAGACGTGCACCTCCTGTTATTCTTCTGCGTCTCATTTTGTGGAGAAGAGGACTCTGGACCATTCACTGCACCACCTTTTCAGAATTTCTATAAACCACATGTTAAATACGCAGCTGCCTAAGTTTACCTGGATATTGTCACATGTGTGCCTTGTCTCTTCAAGTTTACCTCCGGCCCACTCCCTATTTTTAGTAGAAATCTTTTTTTTTTTTTTTCAAATCTTTTTTTTTATAGGACTACCATTAACCAAACATTTGTATTTTTGGGACCACTATTAACCAAGCTGGTTGTACATAGTGCCAACATAACCTGTAAACTAACCTGAAATGTAATTTGTAATGATGAGAAGTCAACCAAACTTTGATTCCTAAAATGTATCTATATGGTCCTGTTGCACACACTCCAAAATCGTATGTGCACACTTTTCTTTTAGGGAACTAAATTAAGAATTAGTACAAAAGCACAAACTAGAACAATTAGGATGTTTTTTTAGAAGCATGTTTATTTTTCCTTAGATAAAAACCTGCAAAATTACGATAAAAAAAAAAAGATTGACGGGTCTCTTATAGTAAAACCTGTAATGAAAGAGAATTTTTTTAAATGCAGTTTTAACTACAGTAAATACATATCCTTAAAGTTTGTTGAATTTAGTTGTATTTGTAACTTAATATTTTTGCAGACAGAAGTTATTGTCATTTTCATTTGCATTTAATGTCAACTTCAAAGAGTGCAGAAGAAAAATATCAGGATCTGACCCTAACTACTCGCATGTAAACGGAACATAATCGAGAATGCATTTGGGTAGAAATCAAATGCCAGTGAGTCTAAAAGAAGTGAGCTGATCGATTTGGTCCTACATGATAGAGGTAAGAGGTGTCAGTTTGTGATCTGTATTTTACCATAAGCAGCTGACATACGCAATTATGTGTCCGTTCTGTTAACTGAATGTCTTGCATTTAAGAGTCACTGAAGTTTGATGGTAGGCACCATATGGCTTATGATATTCTGATGTCAACATTGCCTTGAGATGCCAACGTTTACCTCCTTTTTTCTACTCTTACTTGGTGTCTTAATGCAAAAATGCAGATTGTGCCTTTTCTCTGGCATTGAATATTTCATAAAATGTATTGTACAGTGTTTAGCTGGATAGAATCAAACCCATGATTAACCTTTTTTATGGGTGTTCAAAAAAAAAACTTTTTTGGTATTTTCAATTGAAAATTGAAATTCCATTACAGCACAAATTACTTAAAATATGTAATATTAACAATATAACATTAACATGTCTTCACACGTGAATTAGCCAAAACACAATATGCATTCTGACATAAATGCAAACACCTTTTCTATAGCCCAAAGACTTCTTTTCTCAGTTCTATCATATAATTGTATGTGGCCTCTGAAATTCTCATCAATGCAAAAAGGAAATTATTTAAAAAAAGAAAAGAAAGCATTTAGTTAATCTTTTTAATTCAGAGTGCACTATTTTGTCCCTTTTTTTGGAGTGTGTCTGTGCCACTGTGTAATGTTAAAGCTCAATTGAGTACTAAAATGCAGTACAGTTTCCCTGATCTTGCTGCAAGAGCCTCCTTTTTTGTGAAGGGATGTTTTTTTGTGTTGGATTTAGATGTCATTTATTGTTGAATATTCGTTATCTTTGTAAATATTTCCTGAATTCTTTTCATAATTTTTATATTCAATAATAATAATAAAAAAAAAAAGAGTTTGACATTATCAGCAACATTGTCATTTGTCTTCTAAAGGAAATATGCTGGTTGATGAAGTTCATACCAGCTTTGAGCTGATACGTATTATGCTGAAAATGTTGACATTGCATTTTAAATCCAGATCCCATTCATATTTAAATGTAGTTATTTAAAATTAGTTGCCAATTAACTTTCTTTTAAAGCATCTCATCATCACTTTGCACAACACATCACGCATACAGACAACTTAGTGAGAGCTCAGTAAAGTTCTTGAGTTCGTCAACAATTGTCTTATGCTCACCAAGACTGCATTTATTTGATCAAAATTACAGTAAAACAGTAAAATTATTTCATTGAAATAGTATTACTATTTAAAGTAACTCTTTTCTATTTTAATAATTTTAACATGCAATTTATTCCTGAGATGGCAAAGCCGAATTTTCAGCAGCCATTATTGTACAAGAAGCATTTTTTTATATTATCAAAGTTGAAAATAGTTGTACTATTTTATGGCAACCATGATAATTTTCAGGGTTCTTTAATGAACAGAAAGAACTCAAACAGTATTTATTTGAAATATAATTTTCTGGTCTATTTAATGTGTGCTTGCTGAATAAAAGTATGACATTCTTAAAAACAAAAAAGTCTTATTGACCCCAAACGTTGAATGGTAATTTACTTTTTTTTTTTTTTTTTTTTTTTTAAACATTCCTGTTCTTTATGTGCACAATTAATCATTGAAATTTTAAATCAAATCTATCAAAATGTAATAACCTTCCCACTTCAGAAACAACTTTACTTGGTGGCTGACAATTTTTCGTAATGCCCACTTTCACAATCTGATCCTGTCCTACATTTTGTAATTGTTAAATATCCTATTTTACCATATCATGGAAGTAATGCACCATATCATGGAAGTAAAATGTTTTGCAAATATCTTTTCACTCTGATATTTACAAAATCATTTTACAGATTCATTGTCTTCATAAAAAAACTATTCAAATAATAAGTATTATTTTGTTGCGTAATGCAAGTGTTGTAGAAGTATGGGGAAATTACTGTAGCAATTAAAAGCAGGAACCCCCAGGGCTCTATTAGAAATTTGTCTAGCTTCAATCTTGGTTTGACTTTGGCAGGGAATCAGGGACAAAAACAACCTAAACAATGTAGCATAAAACAGGCTTTTAAAATTCTAACTTTGCTCTGGGTTATAACATCAGATCTCCAGACTATCAGGTCAGAAAGGCCCACTTCTTGAGAAAACCTGCAGTGCAGTACATTTGCCACAACCCTTGTGTGACTTTTCAGTCCATATAAGCATCTCTCTTATTATTAAGGTAGTGGCATTTTCCCATTCAAAGTGACTTACAGCACACTAATTACAAGCACAATCATCCTGGAGAAACCTGGAGTGTCTTTCTCAATGGTGATAAAGCAGAACTGGGATCTCGGTAACTTTGCTATTTCACGGTCACCTCTACATTAGATTGAACACCTTTGACAACCCGTCATAATAAAAAGTCCCATTATGGCCTTTTCTAGCAGGGCAGATGGGATGGGAACATACTGCGAACAAATAAAAAAGACCATTGACCATCTGTAGGGTGATGTGCACATATTTTTCTGGGTCAGAAGTAAAGAAGATCTGATTTCTCTCAGTGGAAGATACAGAACAACTATCTCCCTCATGGAAAAAGCTACAGTACAACTAAAGGATGGACTGAGGAAACAGTCTTTTCCTGTTGTTAAATCAGACCTTCCTTAATCACACTTTCTTTTGATGCATTGTTTCAGTGCTCACACTGGTTCTTATTTAGCTTTTTGCATTACATCCTATTTTAAAGAACAGAAAATAATAATTGTATTTTCAGATACATTTATGCATGCGCTACAAGCATACAAGCAATGAATGCATTAATAATTACAGAAAAGAGCAGAAAATGGAACACTAATGGCTTTTCATCTACAAAAATCATGGATCCATGCAAAACACAGTATGATGTTCCTTTACATCAGGCTAGTTTGCGTCTACACATTTGCACATAATTAGTAAGATCTATTTAATATATTTTACAATGTCTAAAATCAGATCTTTACATATTTTCCTTAAAAATCAGCCCAGGAAATGCAAAAAAGCCTCTAAGTTGTACACATCTTATATTTTAAAGTTTAAAACCAGAATTCTTCATATTTTCATTAAAAATCAGCACAGAAAATGTTAAATTGTAATAAAGGTCTAAACATTTCTACATAATTAGTATAATCTGCTTCATTTAACACATTTTACCATGTTTAAAACCAGAATTCTAAATATTTTCCCTAAAAATTAGGACAGAAAAAAAAAAGTCTTTCCGTTGAGGCCTGATCATAAGGCACTATAACTCAGAAGCAGAACACGAGGACCAGAAGTCTTGGTTTATTTTTGACCGTGTTCTTTGAAATGAACCATGCTACATTATAGCTGCCCTGCAGAGATCCATCTTTGAAGTCTTTAGCGTGTGAGGAGTCATGGGAAAATCCCTCCGAAGTCCGCAGAGGGCCCAGTCCGCTTGCAGGCCTCCAGCAGCAGCTCTTTCCCTGTAGTTGTGACGACTTCCTCCTGGGAATCGACAGATCTTGACATTATTCAGTGTACTGTGCATTCTAATAGAACGAGTACAAGATTTGACGTCTGATTTCTGATACACAAAAGGCCGAAAATCAGCTTATGCTAAAAGAGAGCATGCTATGTGTCATTTGATCTATTTTACATATTCAAACACGTGTCAAATGTGACCTGAAATAGTTTCCAGCGCTGCGTTTTTATTCAATCGGTGATTGTCATTGAATTTTTCTATCTGAGCTAAACCTGCTGTAATTTTCATATATATGTAGACAGATTCTCTACAGTGTTTTTTTTAATTTATTTTTTACCATATTGCAGAGGTGTGAAGCGGGAATGCTTGTTGACAGTTGTACAACGTCGCTTGCATTTGCATGTAACTAATGTCAGAGATTTCACAGCTTGTGACTCCAACTTTGACAGCATTCCAGACAGAGAAATGCATATCCATGGTTACACAGGCTATGCTGAATGCATATATGGCTTGTGGAGATACCAAGGCAAGCTCTCAGTTATTGAAAGTTGCTTTAGTGCAGATTACATTAGTGTTTGACTCAGGAATCAGCACTGACTCCTCATCCATTCCTCAAATGTTGTGATGTTACAGCACTTTTAGAGATTCAGAGATTTTAAAAGTGACCACACTTTAATCCTGCACATGCTGTCATGTATCTGGGCATCATCAGGGCTTCTCCACAGTAAAAACATTCTTCTGGAGAATGATGAAAACTTACATCTGAAGCTACAAGCAATAAATGGCTGCACAGAAAGAAATTGTTAATTTCCAAACTGCTGAAGGCATAGCCCACTGGCAAAGGCAGTGCCATCATTTATTTACTCCAAAATACATGTCCAAAACATAATTATGTTTTTCATCGCCGGCAAATGATAAGACGGTGTGCAAGTTTGTTTAATTTGATTGTAACTAACAAATGGCTTCAAGTCATTTCGGGTCAGATATAATGTAGATTCAGTTTGAATGAATTTTTAAAAACATACATGCGCAAGAAAAAGGTAGAATGATATAGTCAATTGTTTCTATTATTGGCATAATTACCCAAATCTAAAACATATAGAAATGATTAGAAGAACAAA